AATGCCCGACTCACATAGTCCTCTAAAGATAATGCTATTGATTTGGTTTAAATTGTCACGACTGCCCACAATTGATTTGACCAACATCAGGTATAAATGTAAAGTTTAGATTGTTACTCACCAAACATTCCATTTGGAATTTCAATTCCATACTTTTTATCTCGGATCATTCTGGATGTTACTATAGATAGGAACAAAAAAGAAAACTTGAATTTAGGATCACACCCTTACCACTCAGTATCAATAACTCTTTGAACTGCAGTATCAGTCCAAACCATTAAATAACAGTGTCTTGAACATTGATTTCAGAAGAACAGATCTAGGAGGTTAGAGTTAGATATATTCATCAAGACTGTTCTAGAATTTCAAAATAAAAATTGCTGATTCGGGCTTCATCTGTTGAACATACATGTTTAATTAAAGTTAATGTCCTAAAGAAAAGGTTTAACTTACTCTTCTTGCTTTTGCCATGAACTCCAACAATGTGCCTGTGCAGGTTAACAACCTTGGCATTGCAATGGGGGAAAAAACACCTAACCTTGTCTACATCATCACCATCGTTTCTGCCTCTACCCTGACCGTCTTGATGAAATAATGCAGTGGAAAGTGCGTTAGCCTTTTCATTGTCCATGCGATGGATATTCATCAGATGCCTCGGCAACTGCTGGGTCCTTATCCCACAACCTTCTTTGGGACAAACCCTTACACGTCTTGGGCCTCTAACTTTCTTTGGTGCCATCTTGACTGTATCAGCTTTATGAATGAACAAGACAGTATAAACTTTGAAAAGCAGTGTAATTCAAGATATGTTCTTTTTTCTAATCCTTGAGGTACATTTGAAAATATTTCATTGATAGGTGTTTCTGGTAATAAATCTCAACTGAACTTGTGGAGAGCTACAAAATATGTCAATGTCGGGGACAAAAATCACTTCTGATATATATCTAAGTTGCTACTTATAGCATTTGTTTCAATAAAGATTCTTATAGGCATGCCGAGTAAATATACAAATTCGTTTTTTGGGAGTCCAGATAAAATGTGGGCTGTTGGTGAAAGATTATAAAGAGGGAGGTCTATTAGGCAAGCTTAAAAACTTAAATGGCAGACACACACACATCCACATGTATCCACATGTTATATGCCACCAAACACACATAAAAACATAATTATAATTCGAAAAAATGAATAAAAGTAAAGTACTTACTTTACGAATCAGCAATTCCTTGTAAAATTTGACTAAAGCAGCTTGAGCAGACAAAGTATAGGTACTAGCTTGGTGATGGTCTGAACTCTTCTCCTCTCAGAAAGCCAAAACATCTAATCTTTATAAAGGAGGATACAAGTAATATCAGCGTAGGTTATGTCAAAGGGACAAAGACAAGTTCCCTCTCAAAGTCATTTAGCTAATTACACATGTATACCACCGGGGCTGTTCTGGGAAAGGGTCTTATCAAACAAAGGGGGCTTTGGTTATTGGGAGAAAGACAGGAAGTCTTTTGTTTTGGAGGTTTGGGGGCTCTTATCGAGTGTATACAATTTTGGGTTTATTTGAATAAGTTATTAAACAAATGTCTTGGAAGGAGGTCTGGTATATCGCAGGGTGGGTCTTATCTGTATTGGGGCATACTGAGTTATATTACATATTATTACTGAGGGGGGAATAGACTTGTACTACCTTTACACAACACAAGGGCCACTGTTGTATCATCCATCAACAGCTGCCATCATAAAAAAGAAATATTTAAAATATCTCAAATTGCACTAGGATGACATAGGGCATATAATAGCTGACCAGGGCAAAAATCAAGGCAAAAAATGAAACGGATAAAGTAATGTTACATACCATGTGAGTCAAAAAAAGTTTACACCTAGAAAATTGCTAATTATTTTAAAAATCATCAACAGTAAATTATCATACATCTTATCAAAGAGTGTTTTATCCCAAATCATTTGGTATCATTTTTGTGTGGTATGTATAATGATTTACTGTTCATAGATGATTTTTAATATAATTATCAAATTTGTAGGTTTAAACTTTTTTTGGACTCACACTCTATATAAAAAGAAAGAATAAACATGAAGTACATACCATAAAATATACAAATCAAAACATAAATATCAGTGTTATCCACGCTAACATTTGTGTACAGAGTTAAGATATAGAGGTGGGGGGATGGACGTCACAAAGTAATGTAGTTCATTAATAACAACTTAATGGAATAACTCATTACTAGGTGTCCGAGAAAGCAATATCCATCAATTTGGATCACTTGACAAACAGGTCTATACCGTGGTCACTTAGGTTATTGTTACAAAGAAATTAAAAGCCTTGTTCTAAACTGGATCCAGAACAACAATTCTAAATTGTCCTCTTATGTCTCTAAACAAGTGCCTTATACTCAATTAGTATATCTTTGAGTTCTCTGCCAATTCCGAGGAGATGTCCTCTTTACTTTCAACATTTGTATCTGTATCAGAAACGTGCACGTTGAATGCTATAGAACCAAATGATATTGTACTGGCACCATGAAAGCTCTTGTGCTAAAAACAGCTTCGCGGGATTCGAACCCACCCAAGTACAAAACAAAAAGATTTTACAGCATACATGTAGCTATTCAAGTTCAGTAATCATATCACTTTGTGTCATATGTATGAAACATTAGAGGAGATGATAGAAGGACAATAAAGAATAATGAGAGGAGAGATAGAAGAAAAACAATGAATAACATAAGAGAAGATGATCAATAGAAGGAAAATATCGAATAATAAGAGGAAAGAGAGAAGAAAAACAATGAATAACATAAGAGAAGATGATCAATAGAAGGAAAATATAGAATAATGAGAGGAGAGATAGAAGAAAAACAATGAATAACATAAGAGAAGATGATCAATAGAAGGAAAATATAGAATAATGAGAGGAGAGATAGAAGAAAAACAATGAATAACATAAGAGAAGATGATCAATAGAAGGAAAATATAGAATAATGAGAGGAGAGATAGAAGAAAAACAATGAATAACATAAGAGAAGATGATCAATAGAAGGAAACTACAGAATAATAAGAGGAAAGAAAGAAGAAAAACAATGAATAACATAAGAGAAGATGATCAATAGAAGGAAACTACAGAATAATAAGAGGAAAGAGAGAAGAAAAACAATGAATAACATAAGAGAAGATGATCAATAGAAGGAAACTACAGAATAATAAGAGGAAAGAGAGAAGGCAAACAATGAATAACATAAGAGAAAATGATCGAAAGTATTATAGTTTAAGATGGCCTCAGAAAGATTGTACAATAGAATAGTAGTGTACAAAACCGGTTTCTATGAGAGTATGTACATTGCATACAGCTTCTTGTAAGTATAGTGGCCTTGGAGGCCTGTTGCCATGACCACCTTTAATGGAATGTGGGGTTAATTGAATGGGTCAAATAGCTCACTGTGAGAATTGGCACTAACAGTATATTAGCATGTGTGGCTACAAAACCTCAGAAGTCGCAAATGAAGACTCGTTTTGAAATGCTCGTAGCTCCGTTATAAAATGAGATTTTCAAATGATTGTTTTTGTTTTGAAGAGATAAAAGTTAAAATCACGGAAATATCATCTTTATTTTTTCAGAAAAGTGGGAAAAAATTATAAAAATCAGTAGTTAGAACAATGACTTTTTTTTGGAAATTTTAAGTTTTTATTTTCGTCTTAAATTCCACAATTTTTTCCGAAGGCCCCAAAAGTAGCTAAAAATTATGAAAGGAAATTTATTAAGCTTTAAAAATATGGTAAAATAGTAACTTGAGGACTTTTAGATGGGTCAGCAGCCAGCTAAATACATACCGATGTCGATTAATTTTTGAAATCTTCGTATTTGCCCACAAAACGTCCTCTTATCCTTACAATAAGGATAGACTCCCCTTAAATTAGCATGGAAACGATCACTTCTTAATACTCTTTAATTATATTTACACATGTGCGATAATAAGTCGTCATTCCTTGTTCCTAAATATACATTGGTCCCATGTGTCCAGTTTCGTGTATGTATTACCTCTGCCCATTGTTCGACGTCAACCTACACGTCGCTCATATATAACCCTATAAGAAATGTATAAACAAATGAAGCAATTAATTATAATTGAAATATTAGCAAGTGTAATTGATGGAGCACATGTTGAGGTCGATGTAGTTGATGGACACCTTATACTAAGATTTTCTATAGAATTAACATATCGCAGTGGCTAGTATATTAAAGTCGTTAAAAAAACCCCATAAAATTAGAACAAAAAATGGTGTCAAACTAAATTGTGTATCTTATCAAGTGCACCAGAAGGCAGAACTTTAACAACGAGGGGCCGTTACTCAAAACCATCACTAAGTTTAGTTTGTAGACATCCTTGAGAAACGAATGTTAATTCTGTATCATACATTTCAATAGGACGTCCACGAAGTTGGAGTTAATGACGGTTTTGCGTAATCATCCAATTGAAACGGCTAAATACTTGGCAAGGGAGATCGCCCTTTCAAGTTTTTCTGCTGGAAACAAAACATATCGCAGGGCCTTTTTGTCGAAAAAACATAACTGTCAAAAATAAATGGGTCAATCTAAATTTTGTATCATACCAAATGCACCACACATTGAAAAGTATCATTTGTTTCAAGTTGAACACCTAATGAAGGGTGTTCAGCTTGAAACAAATGAGATTAGTCAAGCAATTTAATGTTAGCTACGTGGATGGACACCGTAAACAATGATATTCAAGTGTACTTAACATATCGCAGGGGCTTTTTGTCGATAAAAAACAAAACGTAAGAAAATAAATGGGGTCAATCTAAATTTTGTATCATACCAAATGCATCACTTTTTTTCACCAGATAACAGCCGAATGCTAGGCCAGGAGTTGTGGAGCAAATTGCCATAGGTTTTCCACTCAAAACAAATGAGATTTTTCAATCAATTTCATCTTTGCCAAGTGGATGGATACCATAAACAAAAACTTTCATTTGTACTCAACATATTGAAGTGGCTCTTTTTGGATAAAAAGTATGAAATAAGAAAATAAGTGGGGTCAATCTAAATTGCTTACCATGTCATTGCACGTCATTGTATACCAGAAAACAGCCGAATACCAGGCCAGTACTTCAGGCGGAAAAGTGCCTCGGTCAAATGAGATTTGTCAAGCAATTTAATGTTTGCTACGTGGATGGACACCGTAAACAATGATATTCAAGTGTACTTAACATATCGCAGGGGCTTTTTGTCGATAAAAAACAAAACGTAAGAAAATAAATGGGGTCAATCTAAATTTTGTATCATACCAAATGCATCACTTTTCTTCACCAGATAACAGCCGAATGCTAGGCCAGGAGTTGTGGAGCAAATTGCCATAGGTTTTCCACTCAAAACAAATGAGATTTTTCAATCAATTTCACCTTTGCCAAGTGGATGGATACCGTAAACAAAAACTTTCATTTGTACTCAACAAATTGAAGTGGCTCTTTTTGGATAAAAAGTATGAAATAAGAAAATAAGTGGGGTCAATCTAAATTGCTTACCATGTCATTGCACGTCATTGCATACCAGAAAACAGCCGAATACCAGGCCAGTACTTCAGGCGGAAAAGTGCCTCGGTCAAATGAGATTTTTCAAGCAATTTAATGTTTGCTACGTGGATGGACACCGTAAACAATGATATTCAAGTGTACTTAACATATCGCAGGGGCTTTTTGTCGATAAAAAACAAAACGTAAGAAAATAAATGGGGTCAATCTAAATTTTGTATCATACCAAATGCATCACTTTTCTTCACCAGATAACAGCCGAATGCTAGGCCAGGAGTTGTGGAGCAAATTGCCATAGGTTTTCCACTCAAAACAAATGAGATTTTTCAATCAATTTCATCTTTGCCAAGTGGATGGATACCATAAACAAAAACTTTCATTTGTACTCAACATATTGAAGTGGCTCTTTTTGGATAAAAAGTATGAAATAAGAAAATAAGTGGGGTCAATCTAAATTGCTTACCATGTCATTGCACGTCATTGTATACCAGAAAACAGCCGAATACCAGGCCAGTACTTCAGGCGGAAAAGTGCCTCGGTCAAATGCCCTGTCAGTGGTGGTCAGGAACAAAGCTACTTAACGGTGATGGCACAGATCGGCAACAGCACCCTGAATTTTTTTGAATCGGTTTTCGTAGTAAATCGACAAAAATGCTGATATTTTGTTATTCAAAATACAAAATCGAATATGCAAACACTTATAGATTGATGAATCTATAAGGAATTGATATCTTTCATTCATGAAGAACAAAACGATTGCAATTCTAAGATAAAAGGGATTAAAGTGAAAGAAAAAGGTCCTAAATCAGACAAGTTTCGGTAAATTTTACCAAAAAAAAACATTGGACACTAAAAACCGTCATATTTCACTAAAAACTAATTATTTTCAAACAAAACGTAAGTAAATGGTAAAATGGAAGTTAAATATAGTTTCTTACCTGTAAAAACCAATGGGCAGCCCATAACTTTGAAGGAAATCTACTTTTAAGAGGAGTAAAATGAAAAGAAGCCAACATGTAAGTTTTAGGGTAGCATGTAGCTTTACGGGCGCCGAGCTGTAGATAATAGGACGCCATCTGTGGCTTTTCAGACGCCATTGTAGAAACTC